AATGGGACAGTCACACCAGTACCACCAGTGATTCAAGCCACCCAAAACATGTTAAATGCATCATATAAAAATAGGATTACAAAGAAATTAATTATACAAAAATAGAGTGATTCATGCGTAAATACCGAATAGTTTCTCTAGTGTGAGAAACTGAAAGTGTAAATAAGGACTAAAAGGTGTAATAGATAATGTGAAATAGGAAGAAAAGGGGCAAAGGGGAAGGGGAAGTAGGAGGGGTAGGGGAAAGGAAAGAAGGAAATGGAATTAATATGAGAAAATGAAAAAATGGAAACAGTCTTTGTAAATAGGGAGGGATGGATGGGTTGAACGGAGGGTAGGGGAAGGGGTAAAAATAAGAACCAAGAGAGATTATGTAAAGGTGCAAATTTCCAATGATGAATATTACTATATTGTATACCTAAAATGTACCAATAAAATAATATTTTTTAAAACCCAAAAACAAAAAAAAGTGATAATTATATTAAACAAATGTATAGTAAAATACATTCTCTTCTTTGAAATAACATACTAAATAATAAGATCTGGTGGTGGATTTAGTAACTATCATAACTTTGAAGGAGGTGAATGTTAATGATTTTTTTTGAGGGGGGCGTTGGTACTGGGGATCGAACTCGGGACCTTGAGCTTGCTTGCAAGGCAGGCGGCAGCACCACTGAGCTAAATCCCTGGCCTTCGTTAATGATATTTTGAAATATCTGCGATATTCTAACTTGATTTTAAGAAAGCTGTGATTTCTACTTATGACAGAGTCACAGGTGCCACTAATATTACTCTGGTTTGTCGCTTACATTCATAATTCAATAAAACGCTGATTTTTAGCTTGAAGTTAGTGAAAACAAAGCTGCAGTTGTTTTTTTATCCAAGCTCACAGACTTCATGAGTTCCATGCACAGATCAAAAACGGGATATGGACCCTAGGTTATGAGGCCCTGTCCTGTGAGAAGGTGAGTAGCAGAAACTGGTTTCATGATGACAGAAGAAGCTCTGATGGAAGGATGGATGTGGGTGGGATGGGCATGGGCTCAGCCTTGGACACCAGGACAGGTAGGAATGGCATTTCTGAAAGGTGAATAACAAGATGTCAGTAGGTATAACGGGTCTCCTTTACCAAAATTCTGCCACTACAAGGCTAACAATGAGCTATCTTCTAACCTGAATCTGGGGAGCATGAGTAGGGAAGAGGACAAATGAGAATTTCCTTCTTCTAGGCTTAGGAAGTCAAATGGTTTGCATTCTTCCACACCAGGAAAAACAAAAATATTTGAAATTTGTCTTCTTTCTTTTTGCCTTGAAGAAACATAACTGTTAAATGAAACAATGGCATGTATCCTTCCTCTGAATCGCATTATCACAGAAAATTTTCAAAACTCAGCTCAGAAATTCTGACAGGGAAGGCTGATGATTCCAACTAAGCATCCTGTGTTTCCTTAAGCAGTAGAAACTGTTTCCGGCCAGTAAAGACATTTTGCAGTAGAAGCCATCTTTTATAGGGTATCCCTCTCCCTTTATCCTTTGGGTTTGGATAATCCACTTTAAAAGCAAAGTCCCAGGGAAGAAATGTCCAGAAGAAATCTCTAAGACCTAGGTGCCACAGAGCAGCCTGAAGGGGCCCCCAATACATTATGCCATAGCCCAATTTCTAGAAATGAAAACACCAACCACTTCACCAATTTCAAGAGGACAAACAAAAAGCCCAGCAGCAACTGTCCCATCACTAATGTCTGAGAAGTACACTGGACCTGATTTCCTTTTGAAACACAGTTCTAAAAAAGGAATCAGCCTGCCTGGCCAAGAAAGGTAAGAGCAGAAGAAAAAACATGTGGCAGAAATTCTAGTGTCTTGGGACAGGTTCCTTGGACACAGAATTGGTGGCAGGGACTGGGTGGTTTGCTGGAGAGCCAGGGAAGCAGAGTGAGCAAGGCTGTGGTATTGGGTAATATCTGTCATTGGCCTGGTTCTGAAGTCTAAACTGTCATGGAGTTGACCTGCACTTGAGATAAGGGACTGAACTTCTGTATCCCAAACCAGTCAGCCATTGGCTGTGGGATACCCCTAGCAGTACAACCTCCCAGGCAAAGTAAGAGTGACTCTCCAAACCAGAGCAGGGACATCAATGAGCAGCTTGCTGTCTACATGACAGCAGCAAATGGTGCAACTGTACTCAGCTAAGGGATTTGGGTGAAGCACCTACAGCACTCACCCAGCTCATTTTTGGATGAAAATCATCTGGAATGAATTCAGGAAAGAAGACTCATAAAATCTAAAAGTCTTCTATAGGATACCTCCCCTCCTGTGGCAACTGCAGTGAACTATGACTTATGGGCACTTCGTGTGAAATGCAAGCCTCACCTGGCTCTAGGGGGTAGGGTCAGTGTCCACTCCAGACAAAAGAAAAGGACTGCCTCTCCTTGTCTACAGCTATCTTTGGCTTTGCATTAATGGAAAGCCAGCAGGGTGTCCTTGTGATTTGCCTGAGTTTATATCAAAGGTGGCCCAGAACAAACTTGGAAGAGACGTTAACAAGAATGTGTGTTCAAGATAACAAGAAGAGTTTGTGTCAAGGAAGACTGCCTGCAGAAAAGAGAAATTGCACAACTTTGAAATGTGGCTTTACTTACAAATCTGCTATACAACGGGTGAGTTTATTATTTAGTGGCAAGAGACCAATGAATACAGTCACACAGAATAAACTACAAAAATCTGAGTAAAGAACCAGCATGTGGCTCCTGTCTGTGAGAAGGGAGGGGTCCAGTGGCTTTACTCTTTTGATAGGTCCTTTTCTTGGGTCCATTCAGAAGGAAAACTATCATATTATTTTGACCCTGGGGAGAAAGACTGATATACAGAAAATCTCTAAAGGTTGGCTATAATTGTTTTTCTTTTGTGTGTGTGTGCATGTGTGTGTGCCTATGTGTGTTATTGAGTACTGAACCCAGGGCCTTCACACTAAAGTATATCTAAGCCCTTTTTTAAATTTTTTGAGACAGGGTCTTGCTAAGTCACTAAGTTGCCCAGGCTGGCCTGCCTCAAATGTGATTCTCCTGCCTCAGCCTCCCAGAGTTGAGATTACAGGTGTGTGCCACCATGCCCTGTTCAGTTGGCTGTATTTCAAAGCAAGTAAAAATATTACCAAGTAAAATTTTTATCAGGCACACAGCAAGGTAGACTCAGACTTCCCAAGTGTCTTGGGAGAAAGGCGCACACCAGGCCCTTCTGTGGTTGCCATGGTTACTGCCTTAGTCCTGCCTTCCACACCCATCTAAGCAGTTTCCAACCATCCAGACAGTAAAAGCTGGAAAATCTTGGTCAATGTCTGTTCAGCAGGGGGAGGGCTATCCCTGAAACACACTCTTTGTTGGGACAAATTTCAGCTGCTAATGTGTGTGTGTGGGGGAATCCCTCACATTTTGAGTGTGTCCAACAAAGGAAAAGGGTCAGTTCCATGGGTGGCAGCTCCTCGGTCCCTAGCCTCACATACAGGAAACCACAAATCAGATTCTCCTTCCAACAGGAGAGAATTTCCAAAAGTCATTTCCATCTAGAGATAGGCTTGGTTCCCTAAGTCACAACAGCTATTTAAAGACACAGGCCACAAGTCATACAGCTGGAACAGGGACTCAGGAGCCGCCCACCAGGTGTTTTTCTTGTCTCTGCCATTCAACTTTCTGACCTCAAATAAGTGACTGGAGTCCCTGCCTAACAACTTCCTGTTTTGTTCCAGAAATGCTATGGCTTTAAGTACACATGTAAAACCCACCAACCTCGAAACACATGTACACTAGACTTATTTCCAGCTAGCCTGGGACTCTAAAACCATGGAGGAGGCATCAGAGTCACAGGCTGTGCTCCTGTCCCTGGGCTGGGGCAGAGCCAGGACCCCTAGTTCCAGCTCATGGCCAGGCTTGGCCCTGGCCCTCCCTGGATCATGTAAGGATCAAGAGTCTTATTCTCTCCACCTGAGATGGGCTGAGACCCAACCCTCATCTGCCTTTGTTGCTGTCCACATAGAAACAGGAACAGAGCTCTGGCTCTATTCCTGGCTCATGGTTTTGCTTTAAAGCAAAAACCCTTCTGCACGTGTGTAATACACTGCTGTGCTTAGCAGAAAAAGGAAAAGGCAGTAAGATGCAGAAAGATGCATTAGGAAATAAAGTTGCCACAGTCCTGGAGAATGTTGGGTGTTTGGCCAAACATGGAATGAAAGCATCATGGGAAGTTCATGGAAAGAAGCCTCCATGTCAGAAGGTGATTTAATACTACTGCTGGAAATTCCAGAGCAAATTCATCAACCAAAAGTCTTAAAAGAGCCAGTATAGAAGAAGAATTCCTGTCACTGCCATCATCCCTCAGACTTCCCACTGCTACTGCTGACTTCTGCCTGTTGGTGTCTGTATCTTTCTGAGGGCCTCTTCCCAGAACAAGATAGGCTGTTGCCTGTCAGACTGAAATGCCAGGACATTGACTGTCCCAAACCCCTGAGTCCTAGGAGTTGGCGGAGACAAGAGGGACCTCTGCTAACAAGTGAACTGCCAGAAACAGAATCTACTAGCCAACCTGAAGTTGGCAGCAGACACATGAGAGAATCCAGCTGAGATCAGAACACACAAACAGTCGTGCCCACCCTGAAAGGCTGAGCTACCAAATCAGAGGTGATTGTTTCTAAAGAGGTTATGATGGTGGTTGTTTTTAAGGCACGAAATTCTGGGGAGCTCTGTTGCACAGCAATACTCATATGCTGGTGTTGGGGTGCACGTTGCTGGGCAGCTTCCCAGTCATATTTCCTTATTCTTTACCTTTGTTTCCTACATGTTCCACATAAAGTGTCTGCGCTCAAATCTTTGGTTCAGGGCCTGCTTCTTGAGGAACTCAAACTCAGACCTTGTGAAGTGCTTCCTCTCTTGAACTCCTTCATGCTGCCATCATTATGATGCTTGGAGGGAATCACAATGACTTGCCTGCATGTGTGCCTCCCACCTGAACTGAGAGGCTCATGATGCAGTATTGTGGCCTAGTTTACTCACTAGGCCAGGAACATCTACAGCAAGTATCCCACCAGTATTTGTCTAACAGTAGTATACCAGCATCATGTCACCTCTTGTCAGGTGAGTAGAAGCCAGGGTCTCTGGAAGGTATGTCACCTTCAATACCTCTGCCCAGGTGTGAACGTCCCTTGTCTTACACTGCTTGTCATCTATTCTGAGGCCTCATCCCACACTCAGCCAAGTACCTACTACAGGAGGCCACCTACATGTCCTTCACCCTTGATGTCCTTCTGAAGGTGAGTGAGGCCTCTGCTTCCTCCTTTTAGGAAATCTACATCACAGCCTTGGCAAACGTGTTCTCAGAGAAGAGGAGAGAGTGGAGGAGAGTGGAGGGGAGGGGAGGGGAGGGGAGGGGAGGAGAGGAGGGTAAGCAATTCTTCAGCTCTCATTCAGAAAGTTCCAGCCAATGGAGCATTCTGCCTTTGTTTCAAGAATATACCATTGAGAAAACTGTGCCTGTATCCAGAGATTCCAGACAGAATAACCACAAAGCCAGCTGCTCCCAATCAACAAACTTGTTTTATATTTTTATTTTTTTAGAGTTGGTACAAACAATGAAGGAAAAAAAGTCACAAGGTTAATGTTCTGTCAAGGGCAAGTTTTCCAAGCTTCCGATCAGCTATGTGGCGGATTAACTCATGGTCAACTTGGAATGCCCAGCTGCACGGAATCAGCATGGTCTGGTTGGGAAAGACCCACCTGAGGATTGTGGTCAACAGCATAAAAAGAGAACTGGAGGGGAAGATCAGGTGCTGATGATTTTCTTGGAGAAGCTTGCCGTGGTTGGTTTTCTTGATGCAAACTTGACTCTTCTCATTGGAGGAGCAGCTCGAGTTTTCACTGTCACTGGGAATGGCTGCTGTTCTTGTCAGGGCAGTTCTGGTCATTGTCTTGAGTGTCACTTCCTTCCTCCAGTGTAGATCCCTCAGTCTGGTGGCATAAATCCTTCACCCCACTGGCTCAGGCTTTCTAGCTTCCACCACTGGTGTCTGGACCTTTCTGGGGCAGATCCTCAATACAGACTTGTATGAGACATTGCGGTGGGCTCTAGACCTTTGGCTGGACCTGTGAAGGACATTGTCTTGGGCTCTAGGCCTTTAGCTGGACTTGTGTGGGACACTGCTGTGGGATCCAACCCTTGGCTGGATTCTTCAGGTCTCTAGTGCTCCTCTGCATTTGACTTTTAAATTATCCTATAAATTATGAATCCTATAAATTATGAGTCCTGTATTAAATCTATTCCCTTGAAAACCCTGACTACAACAAGCTCCTACTCGCCTTCCCTCATAAAATGGTAATAATGATGATGATGATGTTATATCCAAGGAACCTGCTGACATGGCCAGTAATAAGCTCACAGTCAAATATAAGGCTCTCCAAGGAAAGAAAAGCCAACCTACACAGACAAAAAGTGTGCTAACTCAATGCAGGGTCTGCTGCTGACTGAGCAGGGCAGGTAGCTCAAGTCTCCAGAGGAAAACTACTGCCCGGGGCTCCAACTCAGACAGCACATGGGAAGGGGATTTGGGAGGGGAGGAAGCCATCTCTGCATTATGGATATTTTCAGTCATCCACCTCCTTTTTAAATTTACCCTTTTGAACAGAAGAGGATTCTCCCCACCCCAGGTCCCCAGCCTTGGTATTTTGGTCCAAAGCTAGCTGATATCCCAACCCAGAAGCAACTGAGGCCAGTGTGCAGAAAGAGAGCAGAATGTAGAATCAGACATTACCAGTTTTCATTTTTCTCCATAACATTAGCCCTTGAGCAAGCAACCTGGATTCCCTGAACTTCTATATTCTTCTCACTTCAGAGTATAATAATATTTCTCAGTGTTGTTGAGAGGATTATATGAAATAGTTCTAGCTCTCACCTGCCGAGGGCTTATCACATGCCAAGCACTTTAAGAAGCACTTAAATATGTATAAATGTATTAAATATTCAAAATAAGGGGCTTTTAAGGGGCTGCAATTATTTTCTCATCTTACAGCAGACGAAACAATCATGGAGATGTTAAGCAACTTGCCCAAGTTTATACAGCTGGTGGGACCTGACAGTGTTTTAATGTATATTGAGTTCTCTGTGGAGAATCCAGTGCCTGGTAAGTGCTCAATAAACAAGGTGCTCTTCCCCTTCACAAAATAGGACAACCTTCACTTCTACTCTGTGTGTACACTCAATGGCTCTGACCCACTTTTGAGAAGGACAACAATTTGTTTCAAATTGTTATGGGTGAGATGGTCCTCCTCCAGAAGGCTGGCCTTTCTTTTGTGGATAGAGCCAGCCACCTTCTAACTCACCAATTGTTTTGGGAAATGCACTTCACTCCACACCCAGTTCTCCTGAGAGCAGCATTGTCAAGGCTACCGCCAGACAATTACATGTGGCTGTAAGGTGGTTCTAACAGTACAAATATTCCAATATCTTTTCATCTTCCCTAAAAGGTTTTTATTTTTGATAAACACTGGAGTTTGCTAGCCATGAGGCCCCGAGATGTTCCACTGATCTCTGATGGGATGCATCAGAAACAACAAAAAAAATTTTTTAGCTCAGTTGCCATAGTCTATTTTTCCTTTCCTTTATCTTAATCACATGTGATGTTTTCTCAAGCACTGTGAGTATTCCAAAATACAAAACATAGCCGCAGCCTTTTACAAATGGAATTTTCAGCCCCATTTAATAGAAACCATCTATATAGCTTCCTCCCTATTCCTGGATACTTTGGAAATGGCATATTTTAGAATGAGGCTCAAACCCATTAAAAGCCAAGGACTTTTTAACCAAAGAGCTGAATGTTTTATGTGACAACATCCCTTCCAGAATTCACACTATTTGGGGGAGAAAAATAAGAACATGCATGAGTCATGGTCACAGATAGCATTTCCTGGCTTGATCCCTGGCCACTCTCGGTGACCCTCTCACTCCTGGATGTCTTTTTTCTCTGTCTTTAGACACAAGCTCCTCCACCTGGTGGGTACTCAGCTCCCTCTTGTCACAGCAGCTTACACTACCACGTATCTGGTCATCAGAGACATCTTCCCATTACCACTTCAACTTCATTCAGTGAGGTCACACTCCATATGAGAAGTAAGTTCTACAGACAACATGAAAGGCAAAAACTGTGTTCAAATTTCCCTAGTGAAGCCCTTGGGAAGACATCATGGTGGAGGTCAACAAAGCATCTCTTGAAAGTGCAGCTCTGCCAAGGGTGCTCCTGTGCTGAAACAAATAGCAGCTGCTCCACAAACACAAATTGAGGTGGGTAGAGAGGGGCAAACTCAGAGCTCAACTGGAACATGTTTTCAGTGAGTGGAGGACCCACACCACTTCACTGTCCTCTCACCCTGAGCATGCCTAGCTACACTCCTCTGAGGTTTATGCACCAATGCTGGGACTCTGTTTTTCCTTTGATTTCAAGATGAAGCCCAAATTCATAGTTTGTCACAATCTGGCTTCTTTCTTTCTCTCCTGCTTTACCTCTCACTCTGTTCTCCTAATCATCTCACTTGCTCCAGACACCTGCAGTTCCTCATGAGAGTCCTGCTCTCCATACCTCTACTCACATTCCCCCCAATCCAGAATGTTTGAGTCCTCCTCACTCGCCTTGTTACCCACCCACCTCTTTTTCTCCCACTGATGCCACCACTATCCTTTTTCATGGGCCTCTCCTCCCCAGATGGTGCATACCAAGAGAGCAGGTCCCCTATAGGGTTCACTCTGCAATAGTGCTCAGCACTCATGAACAGTGAAGGAGTGGACATCCCATTCCAGGCAATAATGAATCAATAGAGTTAAATGATAGCTGAAGCAGCTTGCCTCTGGTTCAAGCCACTAAACCACTGTCAAACAAATCCAGACCCTACAGTTTGTGGGCTGTGCCTTCCCTCCTATCATTCCTGGCTCTAAAGAGTGAACATTCCAAGTCAGGGGAAATCCAATGTAACTAAAGTCACGGATTAGCCTCATATCTCCACTTGACCAATTATCAGTGAACATTTCTCTGATGGCTCCTGTGGGAATAACTATGGGCCCAAGAGTATAATGAAGGTTTCTTTAGTGGAGGATCCAGGGAAGAAGCTATTTTGAGAGACTGAGTCCTCCTGGAAAATAACTTGCTCTAAGGAAAGACTCAAGCATTTGGTCCACAAACACTGCTTCTCAAGAAATAATACTGAGGGCCAGGGATTTAGCTCAGTGGCTCCGCGCCAGCCTGGCAAGCGCAAGGTCCTGAGTTCAATCCCCAGTATCAAAAAAAAAAAGAAAAGAAATAACACCAAGATTCCGGGATGGGATCATATCAAATTAAAAGGCTTCTGCACAGCAAAGAAAACAACCAACAGAGTGAAGAGTCAACCTATAGAATATGAAAGTATTTTTGCCAGCTATTCCACAAGTAGAAGGCTAACATCAATAATATATAAAGAACTAAAAAAACTTGGACCCTTCTCCAAATAAAAGACTCAATCAAAAAATGGACAACCAGGGTCAGGGATTTAGCTCAGTGGTACTGCACCTGCCTCGCAAGCACAAGGTCCTGAGTTTGATCCCCAGTACTGGAAAGAAAAAGGGGGACAACCAAAATGAACAGACACTTCTCAGATGAAGAAGTACAAATGGCCAGAAAAGACATGAAAAAATGCTCATCATCACTGGCCATCAGAGAAATACAAAAGAAAACTACACTGAGATCTTACCCCTGAAAGAATGGCTATCATCAAAAAAAATCTAAAAATAGTAAATGCTGATGAGGATGTGGGGGAAAAGGAACTCTACTACAACACTGGTGAAAATGTAAACTAGTACAATCACTATGGAAATCAGTGTATAGATTCTCAAAAAATTAAAAGTAAAAATTCCATTTTACCCAGCTATCCCCCTTCTAGGTATTTTCCTAGATAAGTTAAAATTATATTACAGGGATACATGCATAATTATGCTTATAGTAGTAAAATTTATAATAGGTAGATCTTGGATATATGTCCAGCATATATGTCCATCAACAGATGAACAGATAAGGAAACTGTGGTATTTATATACTATGGAGTACTATGCTGCCATAAAGAAAGGTAAACTTCAGACATTCATAGGTAAATGGATACAACTTGACAATATAATGTTAAGTGAAATAAGTCAGATTCACAAGCTCAAATATCACATGGTTTCTCTTATATGAGAAAAAAATACATATGCAAATAAAGAGCAAAACAGAAGAGAGATAAATAAGTAGGGAGAAGTTAAAATATTTCCCCAAATTACATATTCCACTGTTTAAAAATATTTCAATATATATGTGTATATATATATCTATATATAATATCTATATATCTATATGTATAAAATTGATTTCATGTTAGTTGTTTTAGTTTGTTGAAAATAATGTTTGTGTTATTACTTGTTGCTTTTTTGTAAGAATCTTTTTAGTATATGTCTTGTACTGAGTACTTACTTTGAAGATAACAATACAAGGTGTAATTATTATTACTCTCTTATTATTAGGTTATGAAAATACATGTTTGTCATAAAATTTAAAAAGTAAAAAAGAACATTTCTTCTGAGGTTCAGAAAAATCTCATTCAGTTCCAAGTGCTAATGTCTTATTTCTAGGAAGATGGAATTGCAACAAAGAGTAAAACAGCCCTCAAAACTGTAAGACATCAGGAGGAGAGACAGACTGCCCCGCTCTTTACCTGCTGTAGTAGATCTTATTATTGGTCCAAATTTGTTACTCCTCCCTATATTCATACCTTTTGCTGGGAGACTTTGTAGTTCTCTCTCACTAAAGGGGCAGAAAATACTCTCCTGTGCCTTGATTTGGGTTTGGCCACATATGTGACTTGCCATGGCCAATACAATAAGGCTGAAGTCAGTACCCCAGTTCTGAGTCTAGGCTGAGGAGCCATTTCAGGTTTATGTTTGTCCTCATGTACCTTCACCATGCTGTGAGAACATGCTCATGCTAACCCACTGGTTTCAGAGGGACAATTAAAGACATATGCAGCAAAGCTAAACTGGGCCACCCAAGCCTAGCGTCTTCCCTCCACTGAACCCAGATGCATGAATAAGTCAGCCAAGATCCAGTGGAATCCAGCCAACCCTCAGCTGACCTGTAGATCCATAACAATAGATGATGGCTAATTATGCCACTGCATTTTGGGGTAATTCATTATGCAGCATTTGAAGGGAGGGCAATAGCTAGGTGATACATGTGAGAGTCCTGGTCTTGGCCACCACACTAATTATTCTGGCATTATCAATTACTGAGTTCACAGAGAAGATCTGGTTCTGACTATGCTCTTGAAAGGTGAAGCTAGAACAGTCGAGGTGGCTTTAGCCATAAGTTGCTTTACTGACCACAAGCCTTGAGTTTTACAACTTAATACACAAAAAGTGCAGTTCAATAGAGACAGATTTGACCATCAACTAATGGGCGGCAAGAGTATCAAGACTTTCCCAACTTAATATTTAATCTTGGCTCAAGTAAGTGTTTTTCTACCACATGAAGCTTTCTATGATCCAAAATAAATTTCCAGGAAAATAAATTTACAATTTGCCTCAAGATAAATCAAATCCATATATTTTCATTTCTTGCTGCTTTTTTTTCCTAAAGAACATTTTGGAAGATCTACTTAAAATTAAAATTAACAAGCTAGTAATTTATGGAATGTCATTAGAATTGGTTTCTCTAATTATCCCAGGAGAACCTTCTTCCTAATGTTAAATAATTCTATTATCTACTTCATGGCCTTAAAGTAATATTCTAAGAATGGCAAAACATGTGCTACTTAAATCTACCACTCTTTCCTGAGTAAAAGTAAAGCTATTTAATATTTAAGTGGTTTACAGGAGTATATGTAGGGGGGTGAGGTGTACATCAACTTCCTCTAATAAATTTAAATAGAAGAAAAAGAATCATGGGGTTGGGGATTTAGCTCAGTGGCACCGTTGCCTGCCTTGCAATTGCAAGGCCCTGAGTTCGATCCCTGGTACCGGAAAAAAGAAAAGAAAAGAAAAAGAATCATAGTACTACTTTCCTTTGATGAATAAAAGATTATCTATCATGAAAAGTAAAAATGTTCTAGTGGAGTCACTGGTTCATAATGGGACATTTATTCTATTCAAACTTAACTCAGTTTCAAAAAAAAGACACATGGCCGGGAATTTAGCTCAGTGGTTTCGCCACCAGCTGTGCAGGCGCAAGGACCCGAGTTCAATCCCCGGTAAAAAAAAAAAAAAAAAGGACACATTAGGCATGGAACATGCCAAATCAGCCCACTGCAGACAGGCAGCCACCTGGTTCCACACTACAAAGATGCAGAGGACACCGGACCACCAGACCACAGTACTGAGTCCTGCCACTCCCGGCCCAGAGGTAGGGGCTTCTGAGCTGCCATCCAACTGCTCCTGGTCCAGAGGAAGGGGCTTCCCAGCCACCATCCCTCCTGCTGCTCCCAGCCCAGAGGAAAGGGCTTTTGGGCCACCTTCTGTCGGGCCACTCCTGGCCCAGAGGGAGGGGCTTCTGAGCCGCTGTCACACTGCTTCTGGTCCAGAGGAAGGGGCTTCCTGGCCACCATCCCTCCTGCTGCTCCCAGCCCAGAGGAAAGGGCTTTTGGGCCACCAGCCCTACTGCTGCTCCTGGCCCCTGTCCCACCTCTCCCAGCTTAGAGGGCATAATCCGTGCAGGCACCAAGAGCTGCCCCCTCGCCCAGTTGAAATGAGAAAACATGTACATAAGTCTCAAAACCAGACTTCCAGATCACCTACAGCAACCCCAAAGGGAAATGAGAT